ACCAGGTGCAGTGGGCCAAGCCCACCATCCCGATATCCCTTTAGAGCTGTTCAAAGCCAACATCAACTACATCATGGATTCCAGGAGAGCCTGGAACATAGCAAAACCAAAAGAGCTCAAAATACAGAGCTAAAAGGAGCCGATTGTAGAATTGTTTAATCTAAACCAATCAAAAGCAGTAAGCTACAGATCAATGAAACAATAAAAAGTACTTAAACAATAAACAAACAGGGCTGGACATACACCTCAGAGTGGAAGCTATAAATTCATTTATGAATGACTAGAACATAAAAATGGATTATTAAAACAATCCATTTTCCAGAGGACACATAGAAAACTCTTCTATTAAATAGAGAATGAAGGATATAAACTACAGTACAGTGAGATGGCTCAGCCAGCATGTAAAAGGTGCCTGCTGCACAAACCTGGCGACCTGGGTTCAATCCCTGTAACCTACATAAAAGGGGAAGGAGAAAACAGAGTCCTACAGACCAGCACCCAAGTGTGTGTGTGTGTGGCTTTGTTCTGACCTCAACAGGAACCAGGAAATGATATCATCTGACCAGTGCCACTAAGGGAAGTCAGGGACCTAGAGAATTAGGTTTGCAGGCAGAGGCTGCACCATGCAATCAGTGGCCTCGGGGGTAAGCTATGAAAACCACTGATGAAATAAAAGCATACATGCAGCCATGTTTGGCCCCGAGATCCAGGATGCCCGGGTGTCACCCCCAACTGGACCCTGTGTGACCGGACAGACCCACATCACCTCCCTATGCTCCAGGCTCCTGAGCAGTGGGTAACATCACAGACTTTCTACGGGGGAGGGCTAACCTGAAGTCACAGTCAGTGTTAGCTACAGACAGAAAAGGAAGTGCAGGGCTAACCAATCTCTCAGACCATCGGTGTATGACACACCCACAGGACACAGTCCTCTAAGCTTTTTGTTTAGTCTGTTTGTGATTTTTTGTTTTGTTTTGAGACAGGATGCACTATGTAGCCCTGGTTGTCTTGAAACTCGCTCTGTAGACCAGGCTGGCCTCAAATTCACAGATACCTACCTGCCTCTGGTTCCCAAGTGCTGGGACTAAAGGCGTGCACCACTGTACCTCACTGTTTTTGAGCCAGGATCTCTTGCAGCTCAAGCTGGCCACAACTCACTGTGGAGCCGAGAAAGATCTTGAGTTCATGATCTCCTTTTCTCCACCCCCCAAGTAAGTTCCACCACTGCCTTTTTTACTCTATTTTTAAAATTTATTTTGTACATCCTGTGTATGGAGATCAGAGGACAACTTGCAGGAGTCAGTTCTCTCCTACAATGTGAATCTTGGGGGAATCAAACTCAGGTCATCAGGCTTGAAGGCTGAGGTCTTGTCCACAGAGCCACCTTGTGCTCTCTCCCTCCCTCTACACACACACACACACACACACACACACACACTTTTTGAGGCAGTGTCTTGCTAGATATTCAGTTCCATCCTCCAACTTGTAATCCTCCTGCCTCAACCTCCTGAATGCTGGCATTTAGGGCCTGTGTAACCACACTGAGCTATGCATTCCTTCTGAAGAATGGCAGCTATGATATAGGAAAGAAGAGATGGCTTCACAGCGCCACATATGAAAATACCACAAATATGTATTTGTTGACAGACATTCTTCCCAGGATTTCTCGAGATTTCACAATGTTCTTAAATGTCAGTCTCATTTAGTTGCAGAACGCTTCAACAAATAGAGTGGTATTTGCAGATCCTCCTGACAGAGCATATGACTCCCAGCCTGGACTGGTGACTGGTGACATTCCTTAAAAACAAAAGGCTGGTTTAGTGGTCAAGAGCACTGGCTGCTCCTGCAGAGGAGCCGGGTTCAGTTCCTGGCACCCACATGGCAGCTCAGCCTGTGACTTCTGTTCCAAGGGATCCAGTACCCTATTCTGACCACTTTGGGTACCAGGTAGGCAAAACACATAAAATAAAACAAATAAGTCTTTTTGTTTTTTGTTTGTTTTGAGGCATGGTTTCTCTGTGTAGCCCTGACTATCCTGGAACTTGCTCTGTAGACCAGGCTGGCCTCAAACTCAAGAAATCACCTGCCTCTGCCTCCCTAGTGCTGGAATTAAAGGGGTGTGTCACCACCATCGACTTAAAATAAATAAATCTTAAACAAAAACCAAAACTTTTAAGGAACACGATTTAAGAGATGATATAACAGATTATAAATAGAGAATTAACAATGAGTAAATAAGATAATCCATTTACAAGATAGCAAAGGCATATGAAAGTCCTTATCTATAAACTTTTAGAACTAAGTTGACATTAACATAATGTGTGTGTGTGTGTGTGTGTGTGTGTGTGTGCGCGCGCGTGCATGCGCGCGCGCGCGCGCGCGCGTGCGCTGCGGACGGAGAGGCAAGTGTGCAGCACCGAGCCGCACCCCTGGTGAACTGCAGGAAAGAGGTCTCCACTGCACTGCACCCCCAGACCTGGGCCACCCCTGCTACTTCCCAACTGCTGTTCCTCTCTCTCCCCTGCACTTCCTGTGTGCCTGCCTTCTGCAACGCTGGACCTTACAGGTGGGCAAGGGCGTCCTTGTCCTGGAGGAGCAGACATTTCCGTGAGGTAGGAGAAGACAGTGGGCAGGGGTTACTGGGGCGTGCGTGCGTGATCAGCACGCACAAGGTCCTGTCGCTAGTCCTCCAACTCCCCCAAATCTAGATACTGTTAGGCGCTATGCAAGAGTGATGTCAGGGACAAGATGGCTCAGAGGTTAACAGTGTTGGCTGCTCTCGCAGAGGATCTGAGTTTTGTTCCTAGCACCCATGGTGGGTGGCTCGGCTCACAACAGCCTGTTAACCCCAGTTTGAGGGGATCAGAGGCCTTCTTCTGGCCTCAGGGGGCATCTGCACACTCGTGGTATACATACAAACCAACTGACTCCAGCTCTCTCTCTTTAAACCACAGCAAAGCTGTGGACATGGTGGTATATACTTCTAATCCCAACACTCAAAGACAGAAACCGGCAGATGTCCGTGAGGCCCCCTAGTCTACATAGTGAGTTCCAGGACATCCAGGACTACATAAAAAGACCCTGTCTCCAACAAAACAAAACAACAACAAAACACAAACAAAACAAAAACATTGCAAAGGGGGAGGGTGAGAGGCCGGAGGAATTTGGTAATTTTAAGTGAGGCAGATGGGAAAGTCTGCTCTGAGGAGACATTCCTAAGGAATAGGCCCTGAGGTGTCTGGCAAAGGCTCTCTGAGGGAGAAAAACCTGCACAAAGGCCCTGAGGGCAGAGCACAGTGAAGCCAGCGACACACAGTTGGCGGAGCGGAATGGGGGAGGGGCACGGCTCTGCCGTACTCCGTCTCCTGACTCACTCCTAAACAATGGACACTTGCTAAGAAGGTAGGAGCAGTTTCAGTTTGGGCAGTCAGCTCTGTGGGTAGAGGAAGGTCAGTGGTGAGAACACAGCAGAGCCCTAGACAGGAAAAAGAGGGAAACCTTTGGAAAGGTCAAGGCAAGTTCAAAAGCAGGCCAGCAGGCCAAGGCTTCCTCCAGATTCCCTGTGTTTATTTTATCTTTATACTAGGTGGTAAGGTTTTGTTTTAAGCCCCAAGGTTCTGTCTCACTGCTTCCTAGCTGTTTCACAAAATAAAATACCAAACCAGGTGGTGGTGGTGCACGCCTTTAATACTAGCACTTGGGAGGCAGAGGCAGGTGGATCTCTGTGAGTTCAAGACCAGCCTGGTCTACAGAGTGAGATCCAGGACAGCAAGGGCTACACAAAGAAATCCTGTCTCGAAAAACAATAAATAGGGACTGGAGAGATGACTCAGTGGTTAAGAGCGGTGACTGCTCTTCCAGAGGACCTGAGTTCAATTCCCAGCAAGCACACGGTGGCTCACAACCGTCTAAATGGGATCAGATGCTCTCTCCTCTGGCATGCGGGTGTACAAGCAGGCAGCACTCACGTGAAAAATAAAATACATTAAGAAAAAAAGGAAGAAAGAAAAAGAAAAACGACGAATGAATAAATAAATAAATAAATAAATAAAATGTCTTGGTTCAGTAGACAACGTTGGGAAGCTTAGGGTCTAACACGTGGGCCAGCCAACTGGGGGTGGTGGGAGGCCATTTGAGCCTTCACTGACAGGACACCAACTACAGGCTGGGGTGAGACAGCTCAGCAGGCAAAGGAATCAACTCCTCCCGGTTGTCTTCTGACCTCTAAACACACATCATGACATGTATTAGTATACCCATCACACACACACACACACACACACACACACACACATGCACACACACACACGCTGGCCTCCACCTTCCTGTACACGGTCACGCCTGATTCTAATTTTGTATGTTTTATATTTATTTTATGCATATGAGTGTTTTGCCTGCATGTACGTATGTGTACCACATTTGTGCTTTGTACCCCAGGAAGTCAGAAGAAGGTCTTGGACCCCTTAGAATTGGAGTTACAGACGGCTGTGAGCCACCCTGTGGGTGCTGGGAACTGAACCTGGGTCCTCGCAAGAAGAGCAGCCAGCGCTCTTCACCAGTGAACCCTCTCTCCAGCCCCTGTTTGTTTTTTAAACAGGGTCTCACTTTGTCACCCTGGCCGGTCCAGAACTCACTGTATAGACCAGGCTGGCCTTGAATTCAGAGATCCTCCTGCCTCCTCTACTGCTCAAGTGCTGAGATTAAGGCATCCGTGCGTGCGTGCGTGCGTGCGTGCGTGCGTGCGTGCGTGCGTGCGTGCGTGCGCGTGCGTGTCCTCGTTCTCTGGACCTGTTTTTGCTTGTTAAGACAGGGTCTCACTATGCAGCCTTGCAGGTCTGGAACTCACTGTGTAGCCCTGGTGGTCACTGAATTCACAGAATTTTCCGCTCCAGTTTCCCGGTGCTAGCAGGTGTGAGCCACCATACCCAACTCCATGTGGCTATCTGATGGAAAAACACCCCTGTCCATCTTTGGGGGGAAGACGCCCCAATGTACATTACCGATTTCCTCTCTTGCTTCAGCTCCTGCACATAGCGCATCAGGTCCACCGTGATCTGTGACGTCATGTTCTCAGAGATGACCTCATGCTGGCCGGCATAGTCGTTCATCTCATTCAGGGTGGAAAGAAACGCTTTACATGCCGTATACCTGGGGACAGAACACACCAGCTGCTTCTCAGACAAGCCCACCTCCATCCTCACGTGCTTCACTTGAGGAAATACTAATTAAAGTCAGTCTGCTGCACCTGCCTCCCAGAGGATCTCGCTGGTTCATTACACAACGGCTCAGAATTAATTATAACCCAAACATGGCCACAGGCGTTCTGTGAAATGCAGTCTCTGGTTCTGTTCATTCTGAGTCCAGAGATGGTCCCAAACCCACCCACCCATGTTCACTAAATACACCAGGCACCCAGACCTACATCAAAGATGATGCCTCCACCATGCACAATGACCCATCACTGCTGACTGAGACAGGCATAGTTCTTGGATGGATGAATAATTAGGACTTCTGACTACAGAACAGAGCACAGACTCTATGACAAGGTTCTCAACCTGTGGATCACGACCCCTTTGAGGGTCAAATGACCCTTTCACAGGGGCTGCGTATCAGATATCTACATTCTGATTCACAAGAGTAGCAAAATCACAGTGATGAAGTAGCAATGGAGATACTTTTATGTTGGGGTCACCACAGCATGAGGACCTGGATTAAAGGGTCGCAGCATTAGGAAGGTAGAGAACCACTGCTCCAAGGCTTATACCCCACACTGCCTGCACACGCCTGCAGGGCCTCCTAAAACTTTCCCTAATTAGTTTAATGGAACCGGTCTAGAGCGGGTCCCGTGGCTCAGGGCCAGGGAGGTTAAGGAAGCCTTCTCATTGTCGCCCCCAAGTTGAAACAGACCCAGACAGGAAGGTGGGATGGGACTTGTGTGACAGCATGCAGCTTCCTCCCCCCCCCCCCCTTCACAACCACCACCAACCACACACGCATCTCACCACACATCCACCAGCAACGGACGTACTTGTATTCTTCTTCTTCCTTGGAGTTCTTCTTGGGTTGGTATTTCTTTGAAAGATTCCTAAGACAAAAATGCAGACAATGTCACCTTCCTTGGAAGTACGTAAAGACATCAGAAATGAAAGATGACGTGTGCTCTTCGCTGGTTTTCAAAAATTTCATGAAGTTGCACAATTAAAACCCATTTGTGCCGGGTGGAGGTGGCGCATGCCTTTAATCCTAGCACTTGGGAGGCAGAGGCAGGCGGATCTCTGTGAGTTCGAGGCCAGCCTGGTCTACAGAGCAAGATCCAAGACAGGCACCAAAACTACACGGAGAAACCCTGCCTTGAAAACCCCCACAAAAAAACATTTGTAGGGCCAGCAGGATGGCTCAGGGGGTAGAGGCAGCTTGCTGCCAATCCTGGTGACCTGAGTTTGATTCCCCAGGACCCACATGGAGGAAGAAGAGAACCAACTTGTGCAAGTTGCCCTCTGACCTCTGCATGCCACGGCATACACCCCCTCACACACATATCATATACAGTAATAAATAAAAAATGTTTACAAATTATCACCCCAACAGACGACAGGAGACTCACCTCTCTCATTTGTACATACACTCACACACAGAGACCATGCTTCCACAGACATGCGGATGTGTAGCAGATTTCTCTAATAAACACAGGTTTAAAAAGCAAAGTTTTCTTTGTGTGTGAGGGTGTGTATTAGGGTCACGGGGGAGAGGAAGCACTCCACGCCGAAAGACCCTTCGTCAGTCTCTCAGAGGAAACAGAGTTCAACTCCAGAGCCAGGTTGGAGGGGACAATTGGAGTGGGCGGGGTGAGCACAGTGACAGATTCTTCTGTGCACAGGGGGGGGCGGGGGGGCGGGGGGGGGGGGGGGGGGGGGGGACGGGGACGACGACGACGACGACGACGACGACGACGACGGACTGAAGAGCCCTGTGACTACATTCCAGGTATTTTTAGTGTGCAGGTTTAAATAGTAACCATTCCTCCTGCCAATCATTCCTCACACATTGAAAACACCACTCCTAAATTCACACCTCACATAAAAAGTCTCAAAACTCAAAATTTTAAACCAAACCACTTGTTTAAGTCCACCTTTCCTTTTGAGCTTCTAGACCTGCACAGCCATAATTTCAACGTTACATGGAGCTGAGGGAAGCTGAGCCTGACTAACTGTGGTAAATGCTGCTCTGAAGGGCTGGCTGGCAAGAGGGCTCAGTGGGTCGAGGTAGTTAGCTGGCCTCCAGGCCTGATGATGTGAGTTTGGTACCTAGCACCCACCTGGGGAAGGAGAGAACTGATTCCCACAGGTTGACCTCTGACCTCCGCATGTGCACCATAGCTGCACCAACCCCCTGCCACCACCACCACCAAACAAACAAACAAAACTTTAAAGACTTGTTCTGTGGTCCTTCAGAACCTTGGTTCTGGCTGGCCTTGAATCTGTGGTGACCCTCCTGCCTTAGCCTCCTGAGTGCTGGGATTATAGGCCTGGGCCATCATGCCCAGCGAGAAAAGGTACTCTTCTTCCTGGAATTTGATATGTAGCCAGGCTGGCCTCAAACTCACAGAGATCTGCCTGCTTCTGCCTCAAGATTGCTGGACCTAAAGCTGCGTGCCACCATAAGCAACCACAGGCATGGAAATCACCATTTACCATCAAAGACCTGTCATGAGTGACATTCTGTTAAGACCCTATGTAGCCTTGGCTGTCCTGGAACACTTTATGTAGAGCAGGCTGGCCTTGAACCCACAGAGATCTACCTGGCTTTGCCCCTCTGAGTGCTGGGATTAAAAGCATGCATCACCATGCTCCCTGACCACCAACTTTTTTGCGAAAGCCTGAGGCGTATTCGCTGGCATCCGAGCATCACACACACACACACACACACACACACACACACACACACACACACACACACACGTGCAGAGCCAGCAGCAGCAAGGCTCCTGTTCTCCCTCTCTCCGCCTTGTTTCCTTGAGACAGAACCTGGAGCCAGGCTGGCAGCCCGCAAGCTCCAGCAACCATCTAGTCTCCACTCCTTGCAGCATAAACGGTCATGCCCAGCTATTTCTGTGGTGGCTAGGGACTTGAACTCACACCCTCATGCTTGACCAACATGCATTCTTACCCACTGAGGCACCTCCAAAGCCCCAAATCCAAGGTTCTTTTCTCTATCAACCCGTCCCAACCCCTTACCCTGGGGACAGGCTTCCTGGCCTTGTATTTTTTTTTTTTTTTTTTTTTTTATTAAACGAAAACAAGTCTGCAGGGAAGCCCTCAAAACATCGCCCTCAAATTTATGGGATCTGCTGAGGAACCCAGTGTGCTTCCTATACGGGTACACTAATGAGAAGGAAAGAGGAAAACAGAGTTTATGAGGCTGCAGGCTAAGATCTGGCCAACCCTGCGGGCCAGGAGGACTTTGAAAGCAGACCTTTGGGCCCCTTTCCAGGTACTCTGAACCAGGATGCGCAGGGTGGAGCCCAGGAATGTTTGGGGCTGTTCTTTCCTTTATTTTTCTGAACCACAAGATGTCTGGATCACAGTGGCAGGAGAAAGGTCTTTCTCAACAAACGAAAGGAACCGCATAGAAGGTGATCAGGAGAGCCGGGCAACGGTGGTGGCGCACGCCTTTAATTCCAGCACTCGGGAGGCAGAGCCAGGCGGATCTCTGTGAGTTCGAGGCCAGCCTGGTCTACAGAGTGAGTTCCAGGACAGCCAGGACTCTGTTACACAGAGAAACCCTGTCTCAAAAAACCAAAATAAAGTAAAATAAAATGAACCAGGATGTAGCTCAGTGGTAGAGACTAGGGGGGGGCGGGGGCGGGAAGGTTTGTTACTTGACAGTAAACAACAGGAGCAAGATGCTCACCTCAGTCCACACACTTTTAAAGGGGTACCTGAGAACAGAGACGACGATTTGGAGGCTATCAGAATGATTTTCCCACATGAAGGGAAGTAAGGCCATAGCCCTGAGTCAGTTCAGACAGAAGCAGACTGAACAGGGAAGATCCACGCAGGGACAGGGGACCTGCCCTGATAATATCCATGTTGCCCCTTCCCATCTGTGGACTCTGAGGACAGAGGCAGTGTGGGCTAGCCTGTGGTCTCCACTCCTCAGGTCTCAAGCTGCAGGCATGAGGAAGTCCTCATAAACCTAGGGATTCCACAGGAACATGGCCACTTCTCCTGACAAAGACTCAGCCCACAGCCCAAAATGCCAAGGAGTTTCAGGACAGACGATAGCTCAGAACCCCTTCCTCAGCTGTGTCCAGCCTCCAGCCTCCAGACTGAGCATACAGCAAGCAACATCCCAAGGGACAGTCACTTCCAGGGTTATCGGCATGTGATGAGTGAGCTGGGAGTCAGCCAGAAGACTTTCAGCCTCACCTCCTTCGGTCCCTGTGACAGGCAATCTTCACAGTCAACATGAGCTGAGGTAGTCACCATGGAAGTCCACCTCTGGGCGTGTCTGGGAGGGCGTTTCCAGAGGTTTGACGTAGGAAGGAAGATGCCCGAATGTGGGCAGCACCACCCCTGGGCTGAGGTCCCCGACTGAATGAAGTGACCCGAGCACCAGCATTCACCTCTCTGCTTCCTGACTGCAGCCACACTGTAGCCAGCTGCTTCAAGCTCGGCCACCATGATGGACTGTGCCCCCCTAAACTGTGAGTCCAAACCCTTGCTTCCTATTGGTCACAGCGATGAGGAAACTCAACAACTTCAGAAGGCAGAACTTCTCACTATTCACCTTTGACAGTTGAAAAAGACAAATCCCAGAGAACGACGAACCCCACATCATCCTTCTGTGAAGCAAGGGCGGGACTCCCTCCCTGGCACTGGGACCGAGAAGATGAGCTCAGCCACTTCAGCAAACTCTCCAAGTCAAGCAGACCCAATGTGAAAAGATTTGTCAGACACCGTTAGAGAAGAGGAGGAAAAGAGAGAAGAGAAAGAGGAAAACCCAACCTGCAGGAGAATGAAACACACGCCAGAAAAACAAGCCACTCACCACCCCACCCCGCCCCTGTGGAGTATCTCACACCAGCAGCAAACTTAAAACACAAACCTGGCACAGCAATAGAGCTGCGCGGGACAATACGACTCACTCAGGAAATGAACTTTGGGCGAATGAATAAACACACCAGGCTTTATCAAATTCGACAAGAAAGGAGCGAGATAACCACAGTGCCAAAACAGGACCATAACCGGAGAGCATGCCCAGCATCCAGGCAGAGCTCGGACGCATGGTCACACTGCATGGACTGACTCAGAAAAAGCCAAGTTTCCCACAAGGACCATGTTCTGCCTGGCCCCAGACTTTCCACCACGGCCATGCGGGCATCAAGCATGGTTAAAGGAAAACGGGCAAGGCCGGCGGAGAGCCGGCGGAGGGCCGGCGGAGGGCCAGGCACGCAAGGCTTTTAGGCATTTGCCGGAAGAACTTTGGAGATTTAATCAGAAGGAAATGGGGATTGGCTGAGGAACTAATGTGGCCGCTCCACAGAAAGCCGGCACACAGTGGGACGGCAAGCCGACCCAACAGGTAACGACCCAGGCAAGAGACACCAGTGACTCAGACGCAGCACAGCGCCATGAGAAGCTGATCCTGGGTCAGTATGGGGAGTAGAGTGGATGGTGTCTTGATGGCTTGCTGAGGAGGGTGAGAGAGGAAGCACAAAAAGGACTCTGTGGCTTCTGCCCGCAGCCAGGGAGGGCCGTGCACTCACAAGAGAGGTGGAAACTGAGTCAGTGGTTTCAGACGTGTGGATGCAGACATGGTTTAGAAATCTCAGTGAGCGCTGGTAAGCTGTTCTGGAGTCGGGAAAGGAAAACAGCTTGGAGAGACACAGCTGGGAGTGAGAGATGGCTGCACCCGTGGGCGCTAAAGCCAGATACAGCCGGGGCCAAGGAGAGAGCACGGACCGAGGGGAAGGAAACAGGAAGTGGACGCTGCTCACAGCAGCATTAGAGCAAGGATAAAATCAGTGATGTGGGAGGAACCCAAGAGACTGTCATTTGGTCTCCAGGGGAGGAAGATACTTTCAAGGAGGACAAAGCACCACTTCCATACTCATCAAAAGCTGCAGACAGACCTCCACAGCACAAGGTGACAGGGGACTGAGGCACCAGGAAGAAACCAAAGAGAAACAAAGACACAAAACTAAGTAAGTCCCCGAGGTGTAATACATTTCCTCTTTTCCTTCCTTCCTTCCTTCCTTCCTTCCTTCCTTCCTTCCTTCCTTCCTTCCTTCCTTCCCTCCTTCCTTCTTCCCTCCCTCCCCCCCTCTCTGGAGACATGGAGTCAGTTTTCTCCTTCCACTGGACTCAAACTCACAGAGATCCACCTGCCTCTGACTCTCAAGTGCTTAGCCAGGCAGTGTAACCCGTTTTCACATGAGTTACAACGTATCAGGACTAACCCACGTGAAGCGGCCATTTGCTAGTGAGTCCCGGACTCTTTGCAGGGTTCTACAAACTGACCTGGATCCAGCTAGTAGGAAACACACTTTCTTGGTTTCTGCATTCCAGGTACTCAATGTAAACAAAATGTGTCATGCTAAGAGCTTTCCACAGCTAGTGCTGAGATGCTTATTTAAGCAAAAATGAGAATCCTGTGGCATCCTAGATTATAACAGCTGAGGATGACCTTGAACTCCTGAACCTCCCACCCCCACCAAGTGCTGGGACATACAACCACACTCAATTTGCGCAGGGTTGGGGATGGAGCCCAGAGCTCCAGCTGTGCGAGGCAAGCCCTCTCTACCCACTAAGCCATGGCCCCAGCCCTTTACCAACAATTTAAAAATGGTTTCTATCCCAAACAAATTCCCCAGATAATTTGAAAGGTTCAGGACAGCACACAGCTCCCTGGCAGGAGCGGGGATAGTCTAGAGACACTTGAGGTATTCCTTTCTAACAGTGGCCTCCAAGGAGCCAAAATTTCCCAGGGAACTTCATTCTGGAGCAAGAGAAAAGCTAAAGGTAGGTTGGTCTGGGCCAGCAAGATGGTTCAGTGGGTAAAGGCGCTTGCAGCATAAGCCTGGTGACCTGAGTTTGAGAGAACGGACTCCATAGTCTTGTCTCTGACCTCTACATTTGTGCTGTGGCAT